CTCGAGAGCCGCGACGCGCTCGCGGAAGGCGGCGTTGTCCGCCCTGATGCGGTGGAACCTCGGACGCGCGGCGTGGCCACCCCAACGGCGGACTTTCGAGCCTGTTGGATCGGCGGCGCCCTTCCCGGAGCCGAGTGGCGGTCAAGCTACGGCTAAGTCGTGCTTGCCCTTCTGCAGGAGGAATTTTCAAAACAAAAAAACATAGAAAGAGACTATGGGGACAACTGTTCGTACTCATTTTGACTATTTGTTGAACATTTGACTGTGGAATATCTTGTATGTGACGTCCAAAATCCGCCTGAAGGGGGACATGCCCGACCTAAAGCTACGGCAGGGTTCCAGCGGCGCCCAAGAGGGGGGCGTCCAAGAGGGGAGGGGGGGAGGGGTGGGGGCAATCGTGGCCGCGGGCGCGCGCGCGGCTCAATGGCGGGGGGCGGGCCGGGGACGCATTGCAACAAGACGAGGCGCCGTGTGAAATTTGGGGAGATGTCATGGCCCACGCCATGATATCCACCTCTCCCCCTAGTCATCGCCCCCCTCTTGGGCCCCGGCGCCCCCGGGGGTTGATGCCGAGCGAGCGGGGCGGGAGGGAAGGCGGGGGAGGGGCGAGGACGGCCAGAGCACCCTCAGAGCATGAAGCCCCTGGGGCTGTGCCCGAGCAGGCTCGATTGCTCCTCGTAGCTGTCGCTGCGTCTGCAGGCATTACACCTCCAATCGGCGGCGCGCTCGGGGGGGATGTGACAGGGGGCGGGCCTTCTTAGAAGGCACCGGAGTTTCTCAGAAACCCTTCGGCCTTCTGAGAAGATCCCTGTGTCTTCGGAAGAAGCTTCGAACACTTCTCTTGATGCCAGAGGCCTTCCGAGCATTCCCCCCGTGGACGCTCCCGTCTTGGGGCCGTCATGGCAGCCTTTTAGCCCGTCTTGGGGAGATATGGGGGGCCTCTTGGGCTGTCCTCGAGCGTCGGCAAGCCGTAAAGGCGAGCAAACCACACACCTTCAAAAACCCATGGTAAATCAATGGTTTGGGCCTTCGGGTGCCTTCATCGGAAGACTCCTCGACGCCCCTTGGGGCGTCTTGGAGGCCTCTTGGACCGTCGTAGGGTCATCCGGGGCGTTTTGGAGCGATCGGTCGGCGTCTTGAAGCCCTCTTGGAACATCAGAGGAATATATTTGGGCTCTCTTGGCCCGTCTTGGTGCTGTTTTGCGCCCAAATAAATCACGCGGTGAGATGCGGGAAGCACCCGGCAATCCGCGACAAGCCCAAGGAGATTTGTGAATCGGAGGTCTGGGCCCTTTAAGAACCCTCAGGACCGAGAATTGAGGCTCAAAGGATGAGACAATGGACCTGAGGACACGCCCACTCCGTGCTAAACAAACAGCATGACCTGAACACGTGATAATCCAAACCCGCACGCCTCCGCAATTCCGAGTGCAACCGAGTACCCGACGCAGCGGATGTACATTTAGCAGCAAATATTTCTCAGACTGAGCGAATTGCTCGCACGGCTCAGCAGTGGAGTGACTGCCGGGAATGCCTCCAGTGGATTCAAACAACGGCGCATGCGCCGAATGAAAGGACCGCGTCGGCCCCAAGAGCGCCTGAGTGGACGAGGCGCGCTAGAAGACCAGGCATGGTAGTACCTAAGGAAAAGCGAGCCCTTCAGACGCTACGTTTTAAGCGTCTTCACTGAACGCATCTTTCCAACGCGCCCAGGCATGGGAGTACCTAAGGAAAAGCGAGCACTTCAGACGCTACGTTCTAAGCGTCTTGACTGAACGCATCTTCCAACGCGCCCCGTACGATCACTCAAAAATTGCCAATGCAACTGACGACACAGAGGAATAAACCCGGCCGATCGCGCATCGGCATGCCCACGAAGCAATGAGTCTGCAGCGCTCTTTCCACGAGGGATGTTTGTCAGAACATGTTTACCCTGCCTAATCAAATCGAACCTTTCGACATTCACGTTTTGAAGGTGGCGGTTGCCAATAGCAATCACGGTAGGAAACTCTGCCGGCCCATAGCCGTACAAATACAATTGGATACTGCCGCCATTTGGAGGCGAGAACTCGTATCGCCGCTTGATATGTCCAACTTGCCATTGCAAATGGTTTCGATCGATTCAGACGCTCAGCTATCGGAAGGCAACGCGTGGCAACTGATTGTGGCACGATGTATATAGACCACGACTATTGCCAGACGGTGCCACCAAACCTCTGCGTATCACAATAGATGTCACTTCCTCTTTGGTACACAGCTCTTATCTGTGTGAAAAAATGGTAACTTACTGGTCTAGCATATAAGGGCATCCGCTCGCCGGAATAGTCGACGTTGTCCACCAACTGCACCCATGTGCTCGTCGTGCTGGCTCTGGACATAGTCTTGAGAAAGACCGCCGTGGGCATGCGGGGTCAAGACCGCCGCCGCGTACACGGCCCATCGCCTTGAAGGCTGCTGTGCCACAGCACGATTAGAGGGAACAATGTCGTGTGCGTGCACTTGGGACCAACTTTGTGGAATAAGTGTCAGGCCGGGCGAAAGAGGGGGATAGCAAAGGGGAGGGTTGAGAACCAGCTCACGTAGCTGATTTTCCCGGCGCCTCCCGGCGCCAGAGGCGGCCGTGTATCGAGGAATGGGCCCCTCGGTGGGGCCGACACCAGCTGCATGCAGCAGGTTTCGCACCCCCCCTTTCCCTCTCCCCCCCTTTCGTCCGGCCCGAAGCGGGTACGGCCGAGGCGATCCTCGATCTGAAATGCCTGCGGACGCCACTTGGAGCCTCCCCCGGGGCTCCTCGCAAGCCTGGCCCCTCGGGACGCGGAGGCCTGACCGCCCCCCGCCGCCGCACGGATGCGCTCGGCCCTCCCTCGTCGCACCACCAGACGTGTCAACAGCAACCGCCTCCTCCTCCTCCTCGCCATCCTCCTCCCTCCTCCTCCTCCTCCTCCTCCTTCCTCGCTCCTCTCCTCCTCCCTTCTGCTCCCCCTCCCCCCCCCCCCCTCCCCTCCTCCTCTCCTTCCTCCCCTCCTCCTCCTCCTCCTCCTCCTCTCCCTCCATCCTCCATCCTCCATCCTCCATCCTCCATTCCTCAATCCTCCACCTATCCTCATCCCCCATCCTCCATCCTCATCCCTCCATCCTCCTCCTCCTCCTCCCCTCTCCTACTCCTCCTCTTCCATCTCTCCTTATCCTCCTCACTCCTCCCCTCGCCCTCTTCCACATCCTCCTCCACCTCACTCCACCCTCCCCTCCTCCACCTCCTCCTCTACTCCTCCGCCCTCCCCTCCTCGGGTCGCCTACGGCCCCGGGGGAAACCTTCCAGGTTCGGCATTTTTGCTGGACCCAGGATCTTGAAAATTTGATCCGTGTTGAAAAAACACGCATCAGATGGACGCCCTGGAAGATGCGTACAGTCTAGCAGACCAGACGCCGAAATCAATAGCGTCGGAAGGTCTCGCTGTTCCTCAGGTCACTCCCTGCCCCGCAAGTGAGCTCCACCCAATGGCAGCGTTGGGCACGCTCCCAGGGCGTCTCGCCGCGCAGTTCGGCAGCCGAGTCGGGAAGAGTCGAGTCGGCGGGCATCGGCAGGCCAGCAGGCCTCCATTGCGAAGTCGGATTCCAAACCGGAATCCAGTCGAATCGAACCGAAATCGGAAGCCATCGACATCGAATCGAATCGAATCGGAGGAATCGAAACGAGCCCGGGGGGGGGGGCACGAGCCGCGGGAGGGGTGCGTCGAACTGCGCGGCGAGACGCCCTGGGAGCGGTTGCCAATCCTGCTGACACTGGGTGAGCTCCTTGCGGGGCAGGGAGTGACCTGAGGAAACAGCGAGACCTTCCGAGCTATTGATTTTCGGCGTCTGGACTGCTAGACGGTACGCATCTTCCAGGGCGTCCATCGATGGTTTTTTCAACACGGATCAAATTTTCAAGATCCTGGGTCCCCCCCCCCCCCCCGCACAACGGCCCCCAGGGGCCGAAAAAGACAGCAAAAATGCCGAACCCTGGAAAGGTTCCCCCTGGGCCGGTAGGCGACCGAAGGAGGGGAGGGCGAGGAGGAGGTGGAGAGCCGAGGGGAGGCTGAGGAGGAGAAGGGGAAGGGGGAGGGGGAGGAGGAGGAGGAGGAGGAGGAGGAGGAGGAGGAGGAGGAGGAGGAGGAGGATGGAGGAGGAGGAGGAGGGGTCGCCTAAACCCATCGGAGAAACCCTCCAGCCGAACCCAAAACCTCGAACCCTCCTGCGTTTCCTGCTGACCGGAGCCGGTGCTGGGCCACCTCGGAACCCCAGTCGGCTCCAAATGTATGAACTTTTTTATTCGGCGTTTTTGGGCGGAAGGGCGGAGGAGGGGGGGGGGTCTGGCTCCGGACCTATGCTTACTGCCACTGTTTGCAGCAGTGCTGCCTCTGGGGGAGACCCCACCCACCCGACACAGGCGCTCCATAAAACAGTCAAGATCTACTCCATGGGGGGGGGAGGGAGGGTGCGAGGGCCTGCGCCGATCGGCAAAACCCTGAATAAGAAAAAGCTCGTTTTCTGCCCCCCGTTTCATCGCCATTCTGGCTCCGGCCTGCCTTTTCTCGCAGGGCGCGGCACCCTGTGTGGGCAGTGGGCGGCGCGGGTGGAACCCTGCGCGCGGTCGTCTCTCGTCTCTCAGGCCTGTCTCTCCTGATGCAGGCCGATCGAGATTCCAGACTCCAGACTCTTCCCTTCCAACAGGTACCGATACCGGGGCTCCTCGGACCTCTCCTGGAGTGCGTTCTGACCATAGTTTCGAAGGTAATCCAGTGGTGGCGACGAGGGCCGCCCAGGAGGCCCAAAAGGGGGAACATGAGGGCAGGGTCAAGGCATGGGTGCCTTTTCTTCCTCTGAACTTCACCTCGTTCCTCCTTCCGTTCCCAGACATGCGTTGTCCTGATTGTTTGATGCGGGGTCACTGGGAATCCCGGACCGTTCCACTGGGACCGGCTTCTTATCCAAGGGCGTGTCTGGACGGCCCCCAAGGATGCAGAAAACTGCCCCAACCACTCCGTCGTGGTTTCTCTACGTCGCGATCATGTCTTG